TGGAGGCCGAAGGTTTGCTGAGAGATGCCAACGAAGGCGTATTCCTCGTCAGGAACAGCGAATCTGCAAAACACGATTATTCTTTGAGTTTAAAGTAAGTTCAGCTGAGCATTGATAAGATTAGTAAGACAGTGAGGTTATTGTGGACCATAAACAATGATTGGAATATCTAATTACATAAAATTTACAATTGTAATGTTATATTTGATATTATATAGTAACTTTATTATACTTCTTGAACACGTTTTTATTTAAACTAACTGTCGCCCACGTCTCCGTCCGCGCGTAATTAAAAACAAACTTAATAAACCTATCTGTTCTTCCAGACTATGTTCTACATCTATGCCAAATTTCAGCGAGATTCATAAAGCCGTTCTGGAGATATATTCAAACATCCATCTATCTATCTGAACATTCGCATTTATAATAATAGTAATAGTGTTTCAGAGTTTTCAATTTTATTATTTGTTTGCAGATCGACTCGTGGGTTTATGCACATGCGCATCTGCCGAGGCGCGGAGGGCTACACGCTGGGCGGTGCGGCGACAGCCTTCCCCAGCGTGCCGGCCTTACTGCGGCACTACGTCACCGCACAGCGGCTGCCAGTGCGCGGCGCAGAACACATGGCCCTCTCCACACCGCTGCCTGCTGTCCTACTGTAAGAACACGCAGGAGTACGTGTAGTCTACCGAAAGCTGGTAGCACCATGTTCTGGAAGCATCATGCCTGAGTTTAGCCACACCGCAGTTTGGTAACCATTGGTTCTGTGACCACGTTCGCATCGAATCCAAGCGATTCTAATCCTTATTCAATAGTGATTAAGTGTGATATGCAACGGTTATTACGTATTCGTATTTATATTTAGCTTTTAGATAACCCAGTGAATATTACCAAAGAGTATTTAGTGTAGTAACAAAATGTGTACTTTAGTTGCGATATAATTCGTTTTTTTCTAGTCCTGAATAGCAGCAAAATAATATATCGATGTTGTTTTAGCACGTGTAATCAATGTTCGCTTATCGATGATAAGCTGTAGGATTCAAGGCGATTGTCTTGAATCTTTGAGAATTTGATAACTATTGTCTACAGTTTTCATAAGAACAATGTTATAATGCTCTATAAATTTGACATAATAATTAACTAATTTTTATGACATTAATTGCCTATCGTATTTAATTTAGAAATTTTTATTTACTATGCGTTTACAATTTATTTGTTCTGTAATTAAGCTTGTATTTAAACATTGTATATTTATTTCTACTGTATTTAATTGGTTCAAATGTTATCAAGTATATTCAAAATGATTCATATAATCAAATATTGATAAGACATTAAATTAGTTGACATTCGTAACAATTGCGCGTTAATTTTTAATTTAAATTATTTTATATACACGGCCTAAACATAATTAAATTTAGTAGCTTCTACACGTACGATGTAGACTTTAATAATGTATTAAAGGCAAACTAAAAACCTGGACCAAGTTTAAATCTGAAAGATTGGAGTCTTCTGTTTACTTTTGGTGTAAAAACAAGTCTAGTACAAAATGCTATGATTTACAAATATGAATGTCAATGACTGAGTTATAAACATCTTTGAAAAGTACTTTGATGACACCAATTTTTAATTTAAGACACTTTTTTTAACAATAATTGTATTAATTCAATATTTTTTATTAATTTGACAACATAATATTGCGCGGATTTATGGACATTCTTATTTGAAAAACATACAATGTCATAAGTATGGCAGTAAAGTGAAAATATGTTTCACGAAATTAAAAATGATCGTACTAAGAGCCGGACAGAGCAGGCATTGACCGGACATTTGGGGAGAAAGGCACACCCTATATTATTGAGAATTTTGTCTCAGTATTAATAATTATGTCAAAAAATTGTATGTAAAATCAAGCATCGACCACTCGTTTAGGAAATTAAAAAAGCCTAACAAAAACCCGGACAACCCGGACACCGTTTATTTTATGTCCGGCTTTATCCGGACGCTTGACAAGTATCAATAGCTACTCCCTATTATAAAACACTATAAATGTAACATTGTTTGTTGGATATAAATAACCCAATGAGTCATAGCAACTATGTCCGATAAGCGACCTCGTCACGGAAATTTATCGATTGTTTTACAAAATGGTGACTCAACTAACAGTATCTTATTTAAAACACGTATAGTTTTGATACATTCGAAAATAAAATTTAACACATTTAAAGTAACATAGCGTATTTAATCTATAAATAGTAGTTTAACAGTCACTAAGGGTGACTCTTAGGTAGATTTAGTATGCGATCTAAAACTAAGGGTCTGCTTAACTGAACATAGACGGCAGTTGGATTTATAATAAGTAAATAACGTCGATGAATTATGATAAAATCTTTGCATAAAAATAACAAAGTATTGTTACATTGTTATACTGACTAAAGAGTAAATAGATTTACAGCATTTTAACAATAAAGGTATATAATTTACAACAAATCTAACAAAATGGCGGATATTTAATATCAAGAAAAATCAAACGCCACCATTAATTTGACTACTCGATAATTGTGTTGGGAATAAAAGTGTGGGTTTACACTGTCAATACATTTGTTTTACAAAGCCAATGTTTTGATACAGGAGTTAAGGCAGTGGAATTTCACGGTTAGATTAATCTGGATACGATATGTGAAAGTTTATAAGCTAGTTAATGTACGATACGGCAGCACATAATTAAGATCATTTTTGTAACAAAAAAAATTGCACGTGTTATGTAACATTCACATCGACTTGTTTATATTTTTTGTTATTTTAGATTTAATTAGATTAATGCGATTGAAATAGGTTGTAGGGTAACGTTTAGTGTTTATGTACGCACTTAGGTATTTGGGGGAAGTAAAAATAAAACTTAATAATTTATGCGCATAATGCCTGGAACGTATGATAAGTTTAGGTCAGGTGCACACTATGATTTTTTATTAATATATTTATCGTTTAAATGCAACATAAAGAAGATATTATTCTGAACAGCATAATCTAATGATTTTATTGAGAAAGAACCTAAAGATCACAGTGTGTACTAAGCCTTAAATATTTTTTTGTAGTTATTTCTGTGATTTAGTTTGATAATAGCGAAGCCAAAAATATAGTGATTCTATGTATATACATATATATCATATACTGAGTTATTTAATTTATATATTATAAGAGCGAAGCGTTTGTAAGACCTTAAAATGACGATGGATCAAATGAGAATCAAGTTGATTGCTATGAACAATTAATCCATGTTTCAACTTAGCGGCTAAACCTGTATTTCCACTGGCGCGTTTCGTACAAGCGCGCGACTAAAACCGCGCGGTTTTTTAGCCAACTTCTTGTCAAATATGGTTAGTTTATTGTATCGCATACACAGGTTTTTGAATGAAACCTTTTATATTTATTATCTTAATATTTGTAATATTAAAATTCTGTAGTAAAGTTGGTAAAGATTGATCTCATTGACAAACTTCCTAGATAATTTGAGTTACCTTTCACATGTGTTTTTTTAATTAATTTGTACCTGATTTTAAACTAATATGTATTGTTTTGAGACTTATTAATTACGTTTAGTGATGTTTTTAATTTTATTAAGGTACAATAGAGTAACAGTAGGCAATCCATGTATGAATGTTATTAATGTACGATGTATGAGATATGTAACTTACTAAACCACCGTAATGCATATGCAAGCATGCAACTAATTTCTAATTTATTGTATTTGTTCTTAAGCTAATGTTTCGATAGTGTGTTTAGAGTTGGCTTAGTGGGATCATTTATAATTTTTACGTAGCTCGACATGTCGGGTCATTAAGCATAATATTGTAAGTTAAGATAGCGAACGAATAGTATCGTAGAATGTTGTTTATACGTTTTGGGTTGGAATAAAAAAAAAACATGATGTGTCAAAATTTTTCTAATATTTCACACATTCGGATCAAAGATTAGTTAAAGTTTATAGCTTACGGTAGTTATAATCGATGACAATGGTTTTTTTTTGAAAGTGTAGTTTGAAATGGATGGATAAAATAAAGTATTTGGAAAATATGTTGTGTTTTATTTAATAATTTAGTAACGTCCTTAAATTAAATAATGAACGAATATAAGGCAGTGAAGTTTGCTTTTAACCACTAAAAATTAAAAAAGTTGTTCGCCGGCATTCGTATCAATAAATCGTACTTGAGTTGTTTTCAAACAGCTCTATGGTGTTCGACAAGCTTATGGACAGGAGACATTCAAGATTACAAAATACTATGGACACCAGAGAATTAAATTAAAGAGACATGGGAGAGATCTTTTACTTTGGGTTCTTAAACTAGGTTTCTAAGAACTGCGGTTCCTCTTGACTCGGGTAATGCACAAACCTTCTTACTATTATTAGAAATACGACAGTGACTGTCCATCTTTCAGGTAAAAACTACTGGATCGATTGAAATGAAATATGGTACACAGAAGGTCTAGGGTCTGAGAAAGGACATATACTAATTTTTATCGCGAAAAAGCGGTTGTGGGGTTTGATAGTGGGAGTGGTAATTTGTATAGAAATAGCGTCATATTTTCAGTTAGAATCTTGAAACTTATGGCAATAAACGTTTATTCTTTTCCGAGTTCTCTTCAGAGCTCTTATCGAAATTGTCTTCAGATTTTTCTTCAAAGTTTTGTTCTGTTCTGCTGAAGACAACTCTGAAGAGGTCTCCGAAGACGGAGACCTCTTCAGAGTTGTCTTCAGACTTCTCTTTGAAGTTCTCTTCAGAGTTCTGTTCTGTTTTGGTTTGTCATGTAATAAGAAGTACCTTAGGCTACGTTTATTTTAGAATAATAAAGTAATGTTGCAATGTGCAACTACTGTCCAGTACTACACGCAGCTCAAAGGTAGTATTTAACGCGGACGACGTCGCGGGGACAACTAGTATAAAATATTTTTCTCTTTTAATACTATTTTTTTCAGGCCGCACTTTGATTACAGCGTTTTCCGTTCCAACGCCATCTCGTAGCGTCCATTTAAACTTTTTCAATCTTATTCCCAAAGACGGTAAGACTACAAAGATGTCGTCGATATGATATGATTTGAAGTGCCAATAGCTTAATGGTTAAGGGTACGGATTTCTGATCACGTGGTCGAGAGTTCGAACCCCCCATTCAACTATTGTCGTAAACCATATCATAGCAAAACCCAGAGCTTAGTTGGAATGGTACAAGAAATATTAGTAAATTAAGAAAAATCTGCTTACTTTTTTATAAAAAAATGCTGCTAGACAACAAGGATCACAGTAAACGAAAAATATTAATTGACACTAAGGAAAATAAGGGGCTATTACCAGTATCCTTTTTTACGATAAAGGTTAACAGACTTTGTAAGACGCAGACTTCCGCGCCCCTTTCTATCCAGCACCCTGGGCATTCTCCCAAACGCACCCTACCTTAACGCCGGCACTGCATATTACAATTAAAATGGTCATCACTTTATACAGAAGTCACGCATTTGGGTTATTTCCACTGACGCGGTCGCGACTGCGCCGGCCTGTAACCGCGCGGCTGGCGGCTAAGTGGAAATTGGAATTAAGTCTCATTTTGCTTACACGTTCGGTAATACGTAATGAGATTTCTAAGAGCATTTTCCTGTTAGCCTCGGTTAGCCAATTACCCAATGAGTACTCTCATATTACATTAATGAGCACGATTCTTTTCTCCGACAGAAATTAACTAAAAAAGCTTCGAAGAATAAAAATATACAATTTTTATTAGAATCTCAAAATGTTACCGAACAAGATTGTAAACGAAACATAATATTAAGCAATTACAGAACATGTTTTACATTGTATAAATAATTATTAAACTCAAGTAACCGTTGTATTTCTGAGTGCCAAACCAATCATTACCGTTATCAGCAAACAATACAAAAATATAGGAAACTAACAAAAGCTATCAAAATGTTAGAAGCTTCTTTATTTGGTTCTATTCTATGATAGTTCTTTTCAGTTTTATTTCTACTAGCTATCGCCCGCGAATCTGTCAGCGCGGTAATAAAAAAAAGTCCTAGGCGGTATTTCCAAACCAATACGACTTAGGCTCCTTCAAGAAGCGTGCATACCATTTCGTTAAAGGCCGGCAACGCATCTGCAGTTCCTCTGGGGTTGCAGATGTCCATGGGTGTCGTT